TTACAAACACAGAAAAAATACAGTAGAGCAATAACTGGTGTGAATGATGGTGAATGAATGCACAAGGCCATGTGGCCAGGGGACTGGGTGGGGAGCTCCTGGGCAGACCCAGAAAGTTCAGGGAAGAGGAGCCTGCAGAAGGCTCGCATTAGCCTGCTTTCTACCCACAGGACCCAGATACACGACAGAGGCATCCGACCTGACCGCACGTGCAGCTGCCGCATCCCTTGTGAAAATCCAAGGCTGACAGGGTAAAGAAGCAGAAGCATGAAAGCGAACTCGACACCTCAGTGAGAACACATGTAAGCAGGGTGCATTCCGGAAGACACCACTCGAGGACATTAGAGAAACCACCCAAGAAAACCAGCTTCCAAGAACCGCCGAGGCTGAGAAAGAAGACAAAGAGCTGAGTGGTTTGCAGGAGCCTATTCAGAAAGAAATGTGAGAGATCGTGTGCCACAAAACCCTTCTCCAGAACTCTGAATGACATTGGGAGAAGTAGACAAAATGCTGGAAATATGCGGAGCCAACATCACAAAGGTTCTCCTTGCCAAGAGAAAAAGACGAAAATATTCACCAAGGCGTCTTGAAAACCAAGAAGCATAAAACTGAATCTGTTGGGAAATCACAAAAGACAGAAACTGAAGCAGTGCTCACACTTTTCCATTATCAAATATGAAACACTAAGAAGCAGAAGAACTACCCAATATGTTTCCTCAAAAAGCTTGACAGTGAAACCACTGGACCCCTCCTTTCTTAAACTACAATTCTGTCTCCCTGTCATGCCGCAGTGGATGTGTGTGACACAGGACTGCTCAGTCCCTCACTGCAAAAACCACAAGGTCCTCTGCTCAACAGTGCAGCAAAGGGTCCCCAAGACAAGGCAGTCACTTATGGTGACAAAAAAAGGAGCCCAGAGTCGAAGCGTGGATTAGGAGGGTGCGTCTGCTCGCCTGTGGTCCTGGAACAGGAGGTCCTGGTCACCTGGGCTCCCGGCATTGGCTCCTGCAGATCAAACCACCTTCAGTTCCTCATAAAGTCCTGTGAGATTTATTTCTTCCCACTACCATGCAGAGGACTGTGGCAAAAGCGGGCAGCAAGATCACATTACAGCTATGAACAATGTTCCAAAGGCATCCCCCTTCCCTGAAATAGATCTCAAGGTTCCTGACACGCGATTGCTCGGTGTCTTGCAAATCTTTCTACTCAAATCACAGCTGTTGGAGCACTAAATACTGACAGCGAGACACCACTGATTTCTTTCCTGGATCCCTAAAAGGAAAGTGGAATTTAAACCCAAAGGAATTTCAGGGCCTCTTATACTATGTTTTGAATGAAAGAACTACCAGTAGAAAACCAGAGGAAGAGGAGGGACCCATTGACTGCGAAGTGAAATTCTCTATGGATGCTTTAAATGTGAGAGTGAATTTCTTCTCCCTTCCAAATCATTAGAGCTCATCATGTCAACTTCTGGGCATTACACCACCCTCAAGACAGTGAATTAACTCAAGGAACCAATAAGCATAAATGTCACTCGTGCTGCCATCTACAGGCCTTCCCAGACCTCACAGTGGACAAATGCTAGCCAGACCTGACGGCTGCTGGGTGCTGGGCCCTGTCAGCCTCCATGAGAAGAGTACAAATTGGGCAACACAGGAAGACGAACCCCAGGACCCTGGCTCTTTGTGCCTCCACACCAGGATTTACATGCTGGCTTCCCAGATGTCCCAGTAACCACTGAGGAATCCTCTTGCCCTTCATCTCTTGCTCACCATAGAAAACCCTGCGCAGCACTGCTGGGGTCCCCACATTCCTGGAGTTTTTCTGGACAGTCCACTACAGGACATTTCCTTTTATCTGTCTTAGAAGGTTCCCACTGGAGAGGCCACCATGTTTCCACTTGCCCCAGGGGCCCTGAACTGAATTCTATAAGCAATATAATGAAGTATTTATGTAAAAACCAAACATACCTAAATATAGAAAAAATACAGTAAAATATAGCATAAAAGTTTTTTTTAAAGATGGGTATAGTAAGGCAGGACTGTAACCCTACCACTCAGGAGGCTGAGGCAAGAGGATCAGAAATTCAAGGACTGTATAGGGAGACCCTGTCTCAAAAAAAATTAGAAAACATAAAGAATGACTAGGCAGAGAATCACATATCTTTAATTCCAGCTACTTGGGAGGCTGAGAAACATGATCACAAGTTTTAAGCCAACCCAGGCAATGTAATAAACCCAACCTCAAAATGAAAAAATAAAAAGAGTTGGGATGTATAAGGCCTTGAATTCAATCACCAGTATCACCCAAAATAATAATGATAACAATAAAAGATAAAAATGGTCCACTGTGTAAGGCACTCCCCGTGGGTGGAGCCGGCAGGCCTGGGAGTTGCTCTGGGGAATCAGAGTAGGGGTGAGTGCACAGGACTAGGATTTTCCACCACCATAAACCTTAGAAACACTGTACAGTTAAGCTACACTACATTTCTAAATTTTCCTTCTTTGATAATAAATTAACTTTAAAGCTAGGGCTCTATCTCAGCGGTACAGTGATTGCATAGCAGGTGTGATGCCCTCTGTTTGATCACCAGCACTAAAAAAAAAAAAAAGTTTATTAACTAAGGTTTACTTTTTAACTTTGTAAGTTTTAAACCTTTTGGCTGTTTTGTTTCAACACTTAGCTTAAAACACAAACACATAATACAATTATACAAAAATACTTTTCACCAAAATAAATGCATTTATATCATTTATTCTCATGCAGAATTCATGTTTTTAGTGAATTGTTTAAGGATGATAATTTCTAAGGTTGAGGAAAATTTCCTGCCTTCTATGTCAGTGCTTAAAGCTCTCCTCCTACATACACTTTATAACTGTGGAACATAAAACAGTCAACATCTGACTCAGGGTAGGGCAAAAAAAACATTAGCACATGGCAGTCTGATCATTTGCTGATTGAGAAATGTTAGGCCACATTCTACCTCTACCACAGATTCTCTCTGTATATCCTTACTAGTTAAGCTTTTTTCTATCACTTAAAACACACACACACACACACACACACACACACACACACACAGGCCTACACAAAGTCAGTATTATCCAAATACACTGGCTTCCATCTCTATATTGTGTACCACTGAAAGATGTCCAGGGGAAATGTACATGGAGCTGTTGTCTTTTGCAATAACAGTTTCTTCTGGAATACTCCTGAAGGACCTGCCTAAGGCTTTTTGTATTATTAAGTTAATCGTACATTTTAGGTATACACAATAATTACATTCATCATAGAGAGTTTGTTCCTATACATGATATAACTTAATTCTGGTTTGTTTGTTTGTTTGTTTTTTGTCTTTTTGAGACAGGGTCTCGCTATGCAGTTCAGGCTGGCCTTGAGCTCACTTTGTAACCCAGGCTGGTCTCGAACTCGCAACGATCCTCCTGCCTCAGCCTCCAGAGTGCTGGGATTACAGGCATGAGCCACCACGCCTGGTGGTTCTATATTTTCTAAGGCTGCTTTATAGCTAACTTTAAAAAAATAAGTAGGCACACATTCTATAAAAAGAGTAAATACACAAGCCAATAAGAGTCATTCATGATCAAATACTATATACTGTACATAATTGGTTTTTTTGTTGGGAGGGGCTAGGGATCAAAGCTGGGTCCCAGGTTTGCTCGGCAAGGGCTCTATCACTGAGCCACATCCCCAGTCCGCATACACTACCTACTTGTATATGTTGTACTTTCATATACCTGGCAGCACAGTAGGGCTAGCTACCAAGATGTCACTAACTAGGTTTCAGCTGGATTACAGTCCTATAGGCAGCACGGGATTGTACACGCTTTCTATTGCCTAGTCCATTTAAATATAATTTCAAAAAATAATAAATAAGGACCAGAGATAAAGCTCAGTGGTGTAGTACCTGCCTAGCAAGTGCGAGGTTCTAAGATCAGCTCCTGGTACCCCACCACCACCACTAATAATAAACAGAAGAAAGGCCATCAGATCTTTTACCCTTTAAAAAGTGAAAGACCATGATCAAGTGTGGTGTGCTTGCCTTTATTTCCAGCACTCGGGAGGCTGAGACAAGAGGATTGCTGTAAATTCGAGGCCAGCCTGAACCGCATAATGAAACCCTGGCCAACAAAAAGTGGAAGACGGGGAGAAGCAGGGCTTTGTCTATGACAGCTGGGGTCGCACAGCTAGGCTGAGCCCTGTCCTTTGCCCAATATTTCCAAAGTACCTGTCAATACACTTTCTGAGTCGCCCTAGGCAGGAGTCAGGCAGAGGCGACCTAAGGTGGCAAGCGACCTGGATGCTGTCTCTGCACCGGGAAAGCAAGAGTACTAAGGGCACCCGCCCGGCCTCTGAGACGGGACCCCATGAACATCCGGGGTACGGGCTGTCGCGGTGCTGGCTGTCACTGACCCCTAGGTACTCGGCGCTCAGCAAGAAAACCCTCAGAATGGATGACCTAAGGGTCCCTCTGGCCTCAAAATTCTGGGTTACGTTTAAGAGGAATCCAGCGTCTGGGATGACGAAGCCCGAAGCTGAAGCCCACCTCCCCAGGTTGAGGGGAGTCAGGGTCAAGACGCTGAAGCCAGGCGGGCGCTCAGACAGCCGCACGCACTCGCGAAAGCCGCTCTGTAAAGTAGGCACGGGCCGCGCCTCGCAGAAAGGCCGCCTGCCGGAAGGGAAGGCGCCACAACAGGACCATCGTCTACCTCAGCTGTCACCTCGGAGGGCTGCACGCAGCAAAAGCCTGGCGTTGACCAAAGAAACGCTGGACGGCAACCGGGACAACCGCGGGGCCACTGCTGCCGGACGCAGCAGCGCCTCCTGGCGGGAGCGAGGCCAAACGTCGTTTCTGGAGATGAGCACACGCAGTCCTCACTTAGACCGAGGCTTTTGGCCAATCGCAGAGCCCTAGCTGTCGTCTCGCCCACCCGCCGTGTGGGGGCGTGGCTCCTTCCCTTTTAGCCAACCAGAAGAGAGATTTGTTCGAGGCGCACGCGCGCGGGGAGGAGGTGGTTTCATTAGCAAGATGGCGTCAAGCGGCCTGCGCCAAGCTGCGGTTGCAGCCGGCACCTCCGTGAAGCCTGTTTTCAGTCGGGACATGAACGAAGCCAAGCGGAGGGTGCGCGAGCTCTACCGCGCCTGGTATCGGGAGGTGCCGCACACTGGTGAGAGGCAGCAGCGCACGCGGGGCCCCATAGGCAGCTGCCCAAGGTCTCACCGGCCCGAGCTGAGGTCATCTGCCTGGGGGAAGGCGACCCTGGTGCTTCCGGGGACGCTAAGGGTACCCCGAGGCCAGGGTAAGCCCGAGCTGACTGGCGCCGAGGTCAGACCAGCCGTGCCCAGCATCCCTACAGAGAGCTGCTAGGTGCCTTGGCCCGTTGGAGTCCTTTGTCCCCGTAATCCATACAGTGCCCCAGGGAGGGAGAGTGGGGATTGTGACAGTCGTTGGCAGGCGAGGGCACAGAGAGATGAAGTGACGGGCCTGTGGCCCGGTAATAGCCTCCGATGGGTCTTTTAGGCGCTAGGCGCTGGTTGGTTTTGTTTTGTTTTGTTTTGTTTTTTGTCTTCTTCGTTTTTATCGGTACCAGGGATCGAACTCACGACTGCCTGCTTGCAGGGCAGGCACACAAAGCGGTTGTAGGATTTGAGCCGTCATCCGTTTCTCACATGGTCCCCGCCCCCAGAAAAAGAAACTGAACCAGAGCGGGGAACTGACTTTCCCAAGATCGGCTTAGCGGTGAGATGGGCGCCAAGCCTTGCCGCCTAGCCCCACCTCCCCTCGTATTTATTCCTCCCCCCCCCCCGCTGGTTTGCACCCCACTGCCGCGGAACCCCTTCTTTCCCTTAGGTAGTCTGTTCACCTTTAGCCTTGGTACACAAGCTCCCCGACTGCAGCAACCCTGACGTCTCCTTAAATGCTGCACTGTACAGGGTGAAAATGAGCGGTTCAGATGTCTTCCTTTGGCGAGCCTGTGTTGTCCTCCAGGCTCTGCCCTTTTCTATCTGGGTGACCTTGGTTACATTGTTTTATCTGTACCTCAGTTTCCTTGTTTATAAAATGGAAAAAGAACAGTGTCTTCTGTGGAGTTACCGACCTAAATAGGTTACTACTGTGTATTTAAAGTGCTTGGAATGGGCTGGCAGTTAACACACCAAGTTTTGGTAGCTGCCGTGTTTTGTTTTTCATGCTGTTCTCGGACTTAACCTAAGAGCCTCTAACACAGCCCCGTTCTTCGTTGTATGAGAACTGTGCTCCACTGAGTCCTGTCCTCAAGCTGACTTCTGGAGAAACTGCTGGTGACCTGAAAGAATGTAAACCCAGCTGGTGCTGGAGAGGAAGAGCCTAAGAAGAAAGTGCCCCATTTATGTAGGGAGTCCAAATTCAGATGCCTTCGGGAACAGGCAGATAGCTGGGTGGGGGTGACAGAGTGAGTGTTTAGCGGGGTGTGGAGGTACATACCTGTGACCCTGACACCTGGGAGGCTGGGACAGCAGAATGCTGCAAATTTCCAGGTCAGCCTGGGCTACATAATTCAACACCAGCCTGAACTACCAACTTCTGTGGGGAAAAAAACGTTTGTATGTGGGAGGGAATGCATCTGAAATCAAGTGTTTAAAACAGAATGTTTGCTTAGCAGACTTTCCAAAACCTTATCTTGTTGCAGGGAGGAGAAGGGGAAAAAGAAGTCCAGATTCAGGAGGGTTGAAAGTGGTGGCCGAGTCCAAGACAGATCCAGATATTATGACTTTCTAAACCTAGCTCTTTAATCCATCTTTAAGCCTCCCAAGACTGACCGTTTGGAAAGATAATTCCAGAGTCAAAAGGGTCCTGAGAGGCATAGACAAGGGGTAAAGGGTTACAGAAGCCTAGAGAGCGGGAGGAGAAGTCAAAGGAATGAAGATGAGGCTGAGAAAAGATCAGTGATCCATGGTCCGTCAGTTACTGAGACCTGTGTGGCAGTGTATCAGGCCGTTCACTGAGACTCCAGCTGAAGAACCAAAACAAGAATGAGGAATAAGTAATAGTATTGCTAATAACTAACACTCACTGAAAGGCTTACCCATGACCCAGCACTATGCTAAATGCTTGTACTGTGCCTTATATCGTTTCCCTGCCTTACAGGTGAGACAACCGAGACACCTAAACTTGTCTTGAGTCACACCTTTAATACGTAGAAGAGCCAGATTTCTAGTCCTGGCTGTTCCACCCTAACCCCTGGCTTATGGGGTTGGCGAGGGGTGTGGCTCAGTTAGTTGTAGAGCATGCACTAAGCATGTACGAGGTGCTGGTTTCCATCCCCAGCATGGGGTGGGGAACAGCAGCTTTTAGTTCCTACTGCAGTTTCTGAAGCTCAGAGGCCCCAGTTTGGAAAACACTACATGCTACTTGCTGGCCATAAGGTAATGGGACGCTTTCTACAGAAACAGTTCACTGATTTAATTTCCATTTCACCGGGTACTTGTACTGCAGAGCCAGTACCAGATGGCTGCAGCAATATAAAAGAGTAAAAAACAATCCTGCCTTCAATGGTCTTATGGTCAAGTGAGGGAGATGGACAAATAGCCACATAATTAAAGTATAACTGGAGTATGGAAGGTGCGTGCTGAAACTTCTAACGCCCAGCATTTGTGTCATGCTTCACTAGGTGTTGTCACTTGATTTTCTACCATATTCCTTTAAAGGAATTAGGTTAGAAAATACGACCTTCCCTATATTCTAGGTGAGAAAACAGGCTGAGAAGGCTGTACCCCAGACTAAATCACAGTTCATAATGATCTTGAGGCCTTACCCAGCTTCTGTGACCCTGGTTCTTTTCCTTCACGCCACGCTGCCTGCCATCCGAGGATAACGAATGAAAGCTAGCATGGGTCGCTAGGGCTGAGAACTGTATAGTGCCATCCTTCCTAGGCTGTCAGAGCCTCCTGACTCAGGAAAGTCTTAATAACTTTGGGAAAATTCAGACTGGAAAGGTCACTTTCCCCACCAAAAGGGCCATCTGCTTTTTGAGCCTGTCAAATTATTTCAGGTTGAAACTTAAATACATTCAGGCTGACATCTGGTACAAGAATGAACAGGCAGCTGTATATGAGTATCTGTTGACTTAAGTTTTTCAAAACATGTTTTAGCTGAATAATTTCTACCCTGAATTGTGTTTTTCTCTTTAGTGAGCTTATTCCAGCTAGACATCCCTGTGAAACAGGGACGCGATAAAGTCCGAGAAATGTTCATGAAGAATGCCCATGTCACGGACCCAAGGGTAGTTGATCTTCTGGTGATCAAGGTAACTGAACCTTGCTGACTGACCAAATTAAAAGATCAGCCAACTTGTCCCCGGTTTCTTAGTCCTCCCAGATAAACAGTTTCTCTTGAACTGTAAAAACTAGATATTGGTTTGTCAACTATAGTGATAGCACTATAGTATTTCAAGAATAAACGTGGAGTATCCGTGGTGAGATAGATGGTAAGATTGATAGAGAAGCCAGGCCTGGTAGCACACATTTGTAATCCTAGCACTCTGGGAGACTGAGGCAGGAGGGTTACAAGTTCAAGTCCAGCCTGAGCCAAGAACCTGACTCAAAAAGGACTTCAGATGTAGCTCATCATTAAGGAGGGGAAAAAAAGATTGACGTGAAAATCCACTGGCACTTCTGTCTTAGAACTAAAAACATTGTGGTGTTCTTCTCAAAACACCAGCCCTGGAAGTTCCTGCTTTATGCGGATGCCAGTGTACAGCTGGAGAGGCAGGCAGGCTAGCTGAGTCCAAATCATGGGCCTGATTTCCTGTCTGTAGCCAGCTGTGTTAGCACCAATGGACGTTCCGTGTGGACTACTAAGCCAGAAGAAATGTTAAACAGAAACAAGTTAAGGCAGCCTGGCTGCATGTTTATAGGGACCTGGTAATGTGGAAGTCTCTCCTCTTGGCACCAGTTAACCACGGCATTAGAAAATATTTAACAGGGCTCAGAAATCATCTAGCCCCAGGCCTCATTTTCCAGATGCATAAATTTGTCTAGACAGGGTCATTACTTGCCCAGTTACTTAACAAATCAATGTCGAGGATTGGATGGAAACCTGGACTTCAACTTGACCACTTTGACTAACCACCTCTCCCCTCATTTGTTTAGGGAAAGATGGAACTGGAGGAAACAATTAAAGTGTGGAAGCAGCGGACTCACGTTATGCGGTTCTTCCATGAAACAGAAGCACCAAGGCCAAAGGATTTCCTGTCCAAGTTCTATGCTGGCCATGACCCGTAAAGATACCTGGTGGGAATCTGCATGTTATTTATTTTAGAGCACAAATAAATTCACAGTATGTCGTGATAGAATTCCATTTTACCAGTGGAATTGGTAAAATGATTTTCTGTGGTCTCTCACTTTTGCCCTAAAAGATGGGGCTACATGTACACCCCACCTGCTCACTCATGCTCGCTTCCTGAAGGGTGCTGTCTGCTGTAAATCCTGTCTTCTCAGAGCCTTGCATGTCAGTATGCAGGAAGGCTGAGGTGGTCTGTTCAGGACTGGACATGAGACTGGGTGACTTGTGTTTCTGCAGCCTCCACAACTGGACACCGTGATGACAGCAGTATGCACAGACACAGAAGGTTTTCCCTGAAGAAAATACATACTCATAGGCATAGCAGTGCTCCTCGCAACAAGCACTGGTCTCTAAAATGAAATTAATTTCCTGATGGGAACAGTGGTGGACAACTGGAGTCCGAGCTGCTTGGAAGGTGGAAGCCAAGATTGAGGCCAGCCTGGGCAACTCAGCAAGACCCTGTCTCAAAAATGTTAGAGAGCTGGCAAAATAAGATACTAGGAAACAGAGATGCAAACCTTTTACAGGTGGAAGGGGCCCAAGAGATGGAGATGAGTGGGGTAAAGAATTAGTGTGTTAGGTATACACGTACCGACTCCCTGTGAGGAACGTACATACCACAATCGTACTAATTTTAAGCTTTTGTTTTGGAAGGGTTTGGTGAGGGATACTGGGAATTGAACTCATGACTTTGTCCTTACCAGGCAGGCACTTGCTGCTGAACTAAACCCTTGCTCTTAATTTTTAAATTTAAAAGGGGTGGGGATGGAGCTCATAATACAGTGCTTCTCTGGCACTCATGATACCCTAGGTTCAATCCAAGTACTGCCAAAACAAAACACAAGTCCTCATTGCTAGGGGCACAGCTGTTCGGTGCATACACAAAAACAAATGCCCTCTTGTTTTTACAAACTTCTATACCTGGAGATTGGACCTCAGCCAGATCAAAGAATGGCCTGTCTGACCTGGGTGAGGTCTTTTCTGTCCTCCCCAGATCAACGCACTTGTAGAAGAAAGGAGCTCAGTAGCTACTGCCACGCTGAGGAATCCCGAACTTCGGCACCAAGGGACCCAAGGTTCTAGAGATCATTCTGATAAGATTTTAGTATTTAGTATTAGAGGCACCACACCAGTCAGTGCCTCTCATGACAGGCACATGGTTAACCAGTACTACTGAACACACACAAAGCTAGAGTTGGGTGTGGTGACACACACATGTAATCCCAGCCACTCGGAAGGCTGAGGCAGGAGGACCACCATGAGTTCAGAGGAGCCAAGGGTATAGAGCAAAACCCTGCCTCAAAACAAAACAACAAAAAAGCTGAAAGCTTTAGTTAGCCTGTGTAGCTCTGAAGGAAAAGTTTCTGTTGAGCTTTTGGGGTAGGGAATCCCCTTAATTACCTCTGTGGCTCCACAGGGCCTAGATGTCCTAGGCTGTAAATCAAAAACCTGTACCTTCCCCTAAAGCAAGGAACTGTAACAGATAGAGCCTGCCTGGATTGAGAAACTTCAGCCTGCTTTCAGTCAGACACAGCTGATGTTTATTAGGTTACACATAATTTACTGTTCTCCCAGTGGAGAGCACATCTTAGGGAATCTTCCAGAGCATGGGGATCTGGACTGCGATCACAGACTGCAGGAGGCAGGCTGAGGGCTTTCCCGGGGCCCTTTGGCTGAAAGGGAAGGAGTGGCCAAGAGCATCGCCATTTTTGCAGCTGGTGCTTTCTCCTCTACTTCCTGCTCGCCCTGAAAGAAAGGAAGGCAGCAGTCTTCCAGGCACATAGTGCGGTGCTTCTACCAAATGTGACAGTTCTGAGTACCCCTGATTAGTCACACATGTACCGGACATTCACTACAGGCCAGGCACCAGGAGCCCCAGGTGTAAACATTCCATGCCAGCAAGCAGCACAGGATCCAGGGTTTTGGTATGTGAGTGTGTGCATGTGTGTATGCTTAAGCACATTACACGGAGGGTTAGGAGGTCATTCAGAGGAAGCATTGGTCACCCAAATGAAGGGACAAAGGAAGACTTCACCAGAGACACTGAAGAATGCAAGAAATGAAGACAGGGTTGTGAGACCAGCAATGAGTCAATGCTTAGGGTGAGTAGGAGTGAAGGTAACTCAAGGAATTACAGCAGATGCTGCCCCTCTAATCCCAGCTACTCAGGAGGCTGAGGCAGCAGGATTGCAAGTCTGGAGTCAGCCTGTGCAACTTAACAAGACTTTATCTCTAAAATATAAAACAAAAAGAGCAGGGAATGTAGCTCTGAGGGAGGGCACTTGTCTAGCAAACAGGAGGCCCTGGGTTCGAGCCCAATACTCCTAAAAACAAAACAACCCTGGCAGTAGTTCACCCTGGCAGCACAGAAGGCCTGGCCCTTCCAAAGATTTCCTCCTGTGGCTGGAACAATAGAGGCTGAGATGATTTGACCAGATTGATGGCAAACCTAACTGCCAGACACAGGAGTCAGGGGTGTCCATATGTATGACAGCAGTACTACCAGGCAGCACTGGTTAAAGCACAGGAAACCAGCATCAGAAAGCTGAGTGGGAAGAGGCCTGGGCCTCCTGGGGGTAAGGGGGTAAGCAGTGTCCAACCTGAAACTGATGCCCATATACAGGCTACACCGGTGCAGTGCTTGGTGAGTGCAGCTAGTGGTGGTAGGGGCCTGCCAGTTTCTGCATTCGGGATGGAGCTGCTGAGATGAAGCTGTTAGGGTGGGAGTGTTCAGCATACTGTATATGAAAATGTGAGCTAACTAAATGAGGGTACATTGTGGGCTACAGAAAAGCTAGCTAAAGTCTTGGCCTAGCTGGAGGTAACACCAGTGAATTTCTAAGTCAGTTAAGTTGCCCTCATACAACATGTAAAAAGCAAAATAAAAGCATTAGTCACCAAGTGTGTCAGTTCATCACTGGAACACTTGCCCTGTGTGGCCATATGCTGCTACCAGGCCAGACTGGATCATGCACAGATCAGGTGCCCACCCTCTTCCTGCTCCTGTCCATGAGGGAAAACCAAGCCTTACCTGTTAGTCGTCATCGTCATCATCCTCTGGGACAAAAATGTCATGCTCCTCAAGCAGAGCAGCAAAATTCTTGCTAATAAGCGTCCCAACATAAAGAAAGGGGATCACAATGGAGAACACGCGGAGAAGACCAAAGGACATCTGCAGGTCAAAGGGGTGACTGTGAGCTCCCTAGCCCACTTAGGCAGGACACACAAGGCCTGGCCCTCCCAGGGGCAGTTCCTTCTGTGGACCCCAAACCCCATCATAAGCACTTTGATTTTAAAGTCCTTGGAAAACTTCAGAGAGAGAAAAACAATTAGAAGAGATAATGTAATTGTTGTGGCCATCAAAATGGCTATCAGAAAGAAAAATGTAACATATCCTACACACCTAAAAATTACACAAAAATTACTTGCACATACCTACTATGGGATGAGTACCAGGAGGGCTGAATTATGCTCAGCTCTACCTAAAGACACTACATACATGAAAATGAAGCACAAAAATAAAAAAAGTGAAGGAATATTCTCTGCAGTTCTATTATGCCTGAGAAATTTAATTTCACCACATTAAATTTTATAAACAGGTAAATTTGAAAGCAGGCATGTCTTTATACAAAGACTATTTAGACAAAATAGAAAAATGTCAATAAAACCTCACCAAAATCTCCTAGTTTACCCCACCCCCAAAGAATTTTTCAGCAATTCCTTTTTTAAGGCAGTTGCACCTTCCTGCTTCTTGCTGTGAAACCAGCCTGCAGTCAATTCTGTGAGCATAAGTCATAGTAGGTTTCAAATAATTTGCGCTTGTTTTTCACTTCCCACACAGACCAGCAGTCAAAAAACAAACTATTTGATATAAGGTACCGTCTGTTTTCCTTAGTCCCTTGTGTTCTTAGGCCTAGTGACAGTATTCAGTGATGGAAAGAAACTGGACCTGATCAGAGCTGTATGAAGCGACCTAACTCAGCCTCTAACCCAATAGTTTATTTGTTTTAAAAAAAAAAAAAACTGATTACAATAATTCTCTGCACACTGCTCAGGAATGCAAGTTACATGAATTAAATACTAGGTTTAATTAATTAAAAAAAAATAAGGTGCTGTCCCATGTTCTCTTTATTTATAAACAATTCATTATCTCATCCCCTCAACTGTGAGACGCCCAGAGACTGGATGTGGTTGTCTGAACTCAATGCATAAAACTGAGTCTCCAGACATGAGGCATCAGGCATCACACTCCTTAAGGTAAACTAGTACAAAACACAAGCCCTGTCCTTCAACTTCCGTCTCCAAGGACTCTGCTCAACACCAGCTTTTCAACTTTAGTCTCCCATAGTTAAGAATTAGTAACCCATTAGCACAAAAAATTGTCCTGGGTCCGCCTTCCATTCTATGGGGATCCTGACTGGTCGCTGCTCCTGTCAATCAGCGCGGGCCCCCAGGCACTCCCCGCAATGATTGGCCTCGGCCCCTTTACCCCGCCCCCACGCAGACACTCACTTTCACCGGTTTGGGCAAAATGGCGCCGCTGCGGGTAACGATGACTGACCTCGACGGTACCAGGCACCGACTTGAGCCGTCCTGTACGGCCGGACCATCGCCACTTTTCCTCAAGTTCGGCCCGCTCCGGAAAGCCCCGGATCGGAGGGGTCCCAAAGCCAGCCAACGAGCTATTCCGAATGCCATCTCCCACTTCCGCCCCTCTCTCGGGCTCGGGAACCCTGCCGCCCCGCCCTGGTGCTGCCGTCACAAATGGTGCCGCCCCAAATATCGCGAGGTTGTGGGCGCACACGAGAAACCCACCCTCACGCTTGCGCAGAGCGTCCGCTTCCCTGGTAGTGAGAAAGAGGCGCGTGTCACCCGCCCTGGGTTATGTGGTCATGAACATTTCCTTCTTCCGCTCCCGACATCCAAGATACTGCTGAAATAAATTTAAGGAACCAAAATGAGTAATCATGAAAAAGCTTTAGGGTTAGACTCATATAAAAACACTAACATATAAAAAAAATTAACAAAGGCTCTACATGCAGAACCTGTGCACCGTATGGGGGCTGCGGGCCTCCTAAACAGGGCTGGCAAACAAGCCCAGTGCAGGACTGGATCCTGTGGAGGTTCTGCCACCGAGAAGCCGGGATTTCCGGCTCTAAATCAGTAGCTAGCCCCATAATGGTGTCCGTAGCTGTGGTCCTCTTCCTGATGTATAGATGGTGCTTGTAATAAACGAGTAGTAACAATTTTACAAACTTTAGTGTTTTATTATATATATATTAAAAAAACACTGTAACGGCAAGAAAGATAACAAAGTCTGCAGTATGTGTGTATAAAATAAAGTGCAGTGGGCCGTGGGGGTCTCCTACAGGACTGGGAAACAAGCTGGGTAGGACAGGAACCTGAGCAAGGCCCTGGGCAGTTTCTCAGCCTCCTAGCGATGAGTAGAAATCTTGAGTCTCAGCCTTAGGCCTTCTTGGGTCCTGGTCTGGCTGCCTTAGGCCCCAGAAAGAGAAGGGGAGACTAGGAAAGGGCAGGTTTTGTGTTTGGGGGAAGAGGACGTCTGAGCAGGCCCACCTCTTCCCAACAGCCCCAACTGTCGCATCCTACAGCAAGAGACTGGCCCCAGCCAGCTGGCTGCCTCTCAGGACACGAGGAGGAAACATAAAGGCACAGTGCTGGGGAATAGCAATGAGGGTTCTTGGTAAGTAAACCCCAGGGAGAAGCAGGACTGGGCCAGAGTTCCCAGATGGTTGGTTGCCCCTGAAGTTTCAGGAATAAAAATACTTTTATGGGACCCAAATGGGGAAATACAAGTTTATCAAAGGATACTGGAAATCTTGTGTCCAAACTTCTAAAACTGCCAGGACTGAGGTCAAAAACACAAGCTGCCTTTCTCTGGGGAGCCACCCAACCTCCCCAGCTCCCCAAATTCTGGCCTGGCAGTAGCAAGAACTAGCAGTTGAGGACAGAGACCAGGGAGGATTTCTGTTGACTTATATAAGCTAAAAGCTCCTCCTGGGGCAATGTCCAGCTCCATTATTGACAGGGCATCCAGGAAGGGTGGATGATATCAAAGAAATCCTCTTTATGGTCAGGGGCCCTCTCCTCAAAGGATACCACCCAGACTAGAGTGGGGGATCAATGCTCACTCATCCTATTCCTCAGAAAGAGCTTCCCCAGGAACTCCTTTGATTGACACATAAATCCACTTTCTCAGCTAACGTGCAGCCAGCCTCTGGCATCTTAAATGCACACAAGACTTCCTATGTTGGAAATTTTGGCCATGGGGTCCAGCGTGGAGGTCAAAGGTGGGGCAGCCCGTTTCCTTCATTTCCTTAATGTTCAGCGCAGAGTCTTACACAAGCCACCCTTCCTCTCTGGACCTCAAGACACAGGTTGGAAGTCATGGTTTGTCAGTCCCCTCCAGGCACAGAAACCTGGACAAGGCTTAAAAAGCAAGAGGAAGCGAACACCCCCACACGTAGCCCTACTCCACCCAGGCAAAGCAACCTTGCAAATGAGTAAACATTTAACTCCTGAAGAAGCACTAGCCCCCGTGTCCCGACCAGCAGGACACGACCAGAACTCACAGGGCTCAAGAGCAGGGCTCATTCTGTTGCTTGCATCCTGCCTGGTTCCTCTGGGCCCTCTGCTGCCACCCTCGCCTCAGCTGCACAATCTCCTGGCCATACCAGTCATGCAGGGTAGAGAAACAGGAGGTCTCAGGTGACACAGGGCTCTGCCCCCTGCCTAGGAGGAGGCTGGTGGGGCCCTGCAACTCCCACTCCGACAAATCCCGCCCTACTGGCCTGCAGCCTCTTTCTTCTATGGTACGCACAGGGCTGCAGTCCCTGGGGAGAAAGTGACCATTTTCCAGGCCTGGAGATCTTCGGTCAGGCACCTGTGGCTTTCGGCAGCTGGCACCGACCTTCTGGGACACGCAGCGATGCAAGGCCAGGCTCCTGCGGGCATCCTGCAGCTGGCTCTCCAGCTCTCGTACCACCAGGCGCATGTAGCCAAAGCTGGCTCGGGACAGGGCCTTCACCCAGGCCTCCTGGGCTACCTGCCCATCTGCAGCCAGCAGATGCGGGCGCACCCCGGGGGCGTCGAAACGTATGGCGAAGGCAAACTCCTCGGGCACAGGTGCCTCAGCCAGCTCCACCGTGCAGCCCTCCAGCACCACCAGGCTCAGCGGGGCCCGGCCCTCACGGCTCTCGAAGGAAAACAGCAGGTTGCCCTTGAGAACAAACCAGCATCTTCTGCCAGTGCCGCTGGGGGTAGGGGGTGTCCCTGGGCCCCCCCAAGTGCGCAGGAAGCCCGTGTGGTCTGCTGGGGAGTCGCTCAGTGCATAGTGGGCCACACTCCTCTTGTTCAGCTTCATGGCCCCTGGGAGAACTGAGAGGCGACAGGGATCAGTGGATTAGAGAGAGACGCACCACAAGGGAAAGGCCCAGCTGGGCCCCAACCTGAGGGCCTCTGCTCCCCTGCTGTGTTCCTGGGGTTCCTAGATTTCATCTGTGAAATGGGTGAGTCTCCCTGGCCAGTCCTCTCAAAGGGATTTTGAGGGTCATGCAAAAAACTGGACATTCGCCAGGCATGGTGGCACACACCTATCATCCTAGTATTCTGGGAAGTTGAGGCAGGAGGATTGAAAGTTTAAGCCCAGCCTGGGCAATTTAGCAAGACTCTGTTTCAAAATTTAAAATAAAAAGAACTGAAGATGACGCTCAGGACTCCTGGGATCCAAGAGTCAATGTCCTCCCAACCCTCGTGCCCTAAAAAAACTGGATCATAGAACACTCAGGAACACTAAGGAAAGATGTTATTGAATCCAGGTAGGAGGCTTGGCAGGACCTCTGTGTGACTTTCTTTTAACTTTTTTTTTTTTTTTTTTGGTCTTTTTCGTTTTTATCGGAACCAGGGATCAAACTCACAACCGCACACTTGCAAGGAAGGCACTTATGCCGCTGAGCTAAATCCCCAGCCCCTCTTTTAACTTTTTTTTTTAACTTTTATTAGTACATGTTTACAGTACATAATGATTACATTCATTATGGGGATTTGGTAATGTACATAACACATCTTCATTCTGTTTATGTCTCCTCCTTCTCTCCGTCCCCGTCATGGAGCTTTTTAAAACCCAGAGAAATAAACCAAGTGAACACACATTAGCATTCTGGGAGGCTGAGACAGGAGGATCAAAAGTTTGATTCCAGCCTGGGCAACTGAGTGAGGCCCTAACTCAAAAAAAAAGGAAAAAAGCAAAAGCATGTGGGACATTGCTCAGTACACAGGCCCTGGCTTCAACCCCAGTACTGAAATCAAAATTCAGAGAACTAGAAATAGATCCCAGCCAGGCCGAAACAAACCCCAAGCTTCAACCACACCCTATGGTGGGGGCCTCTCAACTCTGAGGAACGCTTCCAGGGTTCCCGTGACACCCCTGGGCTTCAGTGGTGGCTCCTTGATGGACAGCAATGTTGTCTTCAGCGACAGCCTGCAGCCTTCAGAGCCAGACAGGTGCAACGGGGACAGGCGGCCTCCCCAGGGGAGGGCAGATGGGGACCCACTCTGTAAACAGGAGCATGGCACCAGCCAGCTCAGGGTTCAGCTGAGGACGACCACAGCCAGACTTTGAGGTCTGTGGACCCTGCAGGACACCTCGTCCAACTGTCTTTCCTTATGGAAAACGGAGACCAGGAGCAGCGAAGGGGCGCTGCCCAAGGTCACATGGCCAGTGAGAGGCAGCACTTGGTGGCACCTTTGGGGAGCTGTACTTACCAGCAGGGCTGGGCGCACGGTGGGGGCGATTTGTCTGGTGGCGCAGCCAGTGGTTCCCAGGGGACCTGCAAAACAGTTCTCCAAGGATGAGGACTCAAAACCGGCCTTCTTCGAAACTCCCGCTGCCCCAAGGGCTGGGTCCTGTGGCCCTGACCTTCACTCTTCAAACCTCGGCTTCCTGTCCCCCAAGGTTGGGTCACAGTGACACCCTCATAGCTTCCTGCTTTCCCTTCTAGCACTTGTCACACGGCTTATGTGTGGGCTTTTATTTAAATCACCTAATACTCTGAAAAGCCTGGCCTGATCACCATGGCCAAAGTGGCCTAATGTAGGTTGACTGACCAGCAGTCTTCTTGTGTCTGGTCTGGCGAGAAACCTTTATCCCACGACAATCTCCTTGGTTTGTTTGTTTTGCAAAAGGGTCACACTATGTTCAGTTCAGGCTGGCCTTGAACTCACTACGTAGCCCAGGTTGGCCTCAAACTTCCAGGAATCATCCTGCCTCAGCCTCCCAAATGTTGGGATTACAGGCATACACTACTGTGCGTGGCTCCCACCGCGATCTCCTTTGTGTTTACTCAGCTATTTCCAGCTCCAGAATGTGTAGGGCCTGGTTTGAGTTGGTTTCCAAAGGCACCCTCAGTGTCCAGCACCAGGCGGGTTTCTTGGAGTCCCTTGACAGGTATTTGTTGAATTCATGATCTGACATCAGTGTACATAACAAAGTATCCCATCCTTGGGGAGCTGGGGTAGAGGCAGGGAGGTATGACATGATGTAAGCAAAGAAAAAAAAACAACTAATGGCTGGATGTGGTGGCGCACACCTGTCATCACAGCCCTTTGGCTGAGTGAGGTAGGAGAGCTGCAAGTTGGAGCCCAGCCTGGACCACTTAGTGATTTAGCAAGATCCTGTCTCAAAACAAAAAATTTTAAAAAGGGCTGGGAAGTCTAGCTCAGTGCAAAGGCCCTGAGATCAATCCCAGTCCTTGAACTAATAATACGTGAATGAAACAGTAATTAATAAAACATTAAATAGCTGGGTGTGATGTAATTCCAGCACTCAGGAGGCTTAGGCAGGAGGATCGCTGTGAGTTCCAGGCCAGCCTGAGCTAGATAGTGAGTTCAAGACCAGCCAACTGCAAAGGCCCTGTCTCAAGGAAAAAAAAAAAAAAAAGCAAGAAAGAAAGAAAAAGAAAAGGAGAAGAAGGAAAAGGAGAAAAAGAAGAGGAAAGAGGAAGAGAGGAAGAAAGACAGAGAGAAGTGAAAGAGAGGAAGCGCACACACAGTCCCCGCAGTCCGGGTCTGCGGAGGAGCGCGGCAGGCCCCAGGAGGCCGGGGGCTCGGTCAGGCGCCACCCGCTGGGGCGGTGGGCAGTCGGGCCGGCGCCCTTCCCGGTCCCCGCCACGTCCCCGCCCGCCGGCTCTCACCTCCTGCGCCCCGCGGTCGGCCGGACCCCGCGCTCCGCGAAGGCGAACGTGGCGCGGGCGCCGAGACCCCGCCCGCCGGCCGGGTGACCGCCCGGCCCCTCCCTGCCCCGACGCACCAGGCCTCGGGAGCCGCGAAGCCTCCTCCGCATCCACGCGCGAGGGAAACTGAGCCGGGGAGGGGCCTGCCTGGGCCACAGCGCGGTCAGCGGCGCGGCGGGGCAAGCCGGGCCCACGGGCGGCGCCCCCCACCCAGCCCACCGCCGGAGAAGTCTAAGAATCCCGGAGAATTTAGAATCCTGTCTCCCCACCTGGCCCTCCCGTCCCGCAGAACCAAATCAGGCCATCCTTTGGCCCTGGAGCTTCTTAAAACCGGGCTCCTACACAGCCCGCTGAGCCCTGAGGAGTACCCAACCAGGCTCCTCCCCGCCTCTGGAGCTTATCTGCTCCAGCAGGCCTGCGCCCTACTCTTGGCCCCAGGCGCTTGGAGACAGTATCGGCCGGGTAGATGCAGATGGCAGCGCTGCAGGCAGGAGGCTGGGCCTTCCCACAGGCCCTGAAACCCCCTGAGCTCCAGGGTCTGTGTGTGAGCTTGTGGCTTCCCGCCTCAGTCTTGCCTCTGTCTTCGGCTTTGCAGTTCCTGCGGCAGCCACCTGTGCCCCCTCACCTCTGCCCTCTCACCTCTGCCCTCTCGCCTGAGCTTCAGGGCCATTTGTCCGACCTCAGTCCAGAGGGCCCCTCCCTGGACACCCTAAGGTTTCTTTTTGTTTCTTTTCCTCTTTGGCTGGAGGTGGAAGCCAGGGTCCCCTTTCTGCTCAGCAGACGCCGCCCTGGTGAGCTCCCCCACCCCAGCGCCTGGCTGGGTTTTTATCACCCCTCTGGGTTGTGTTTTCGCTGGGACACCAACCACTACCATAAACCTCGCTCTGCTCCTCCCTTATTAAATTTTATTCCAATAGGAGTTGTGGGAGTGGGGAGGTTGTTTTTGTGTGTGTTTTTGAGACAAGATCAGAGTGGCCTCAAAATGGTGATCCTCCTGCCTCAGCCTCCCAGGATTTTTGGATCGCAGATGTACACTACCACACCTGACTGGGAGGTTTCAATTTTAAGTAGAATTGTCACCAGGGAAAGTAGATCCTGATGCCACGAGGAACCAGTCAAACTCCTCTGTCCTTTCTACCTTTAATGAAAGAATTCAGTCAAGACAAATAGGCAGCTCTGCAGAGATACAGGTGGTTCATTGGAAAACAGATAGCGGAGACTTGGGCCTTCGAATCAGGGGGGACAATGCCCTGTGGGCCTCTGCACCCGAGGGTGAATTTGGACATCTTTTTATGGGCAGGAAAGCCATTTCTGGGGCTCAGGGACTGTAGTTACACCACATATGCGGTAGCTCATCAATATTTTTCTTAGGGGTTGCTTCAAAATGGCGCGATCTTGTTCTTGTGTCTTCTTTGTTCTTTTCAGATGGTCAGTGTCCCCTCCGGGGCCTTCATCATCAAAGAAACTTCCAAAAGAAATGTCTGGAAGAAAAAGTTCTGACCTGCATGCGGTCTAGATCCAAGCGGGAGGACCTCTGAGGTAGGTGCCCCTTTCGGCTGCCAGTGGGGCATAGCCAGGGCACCCAGGAACCCTGTGGGCCTTGTTTAGCCATGTGGTCAGGAAGCAGGGTGCTGTGTGCAGTATGGAACCTTCAAATGCCACTGTCCTCATCTATGGGATGCTTCAAGACCTAACGAATGGTTATAAATGTATTCTATACTGAAGTCTTCATTCCTTCCTTTAACTGGCACAATTGCTATTTTGGGTCCCCTTGTCCCTCAGGGCTGCTGATGTCTAAACTGCCTGCATAACTGAATGGTCAGGGTAGACTCTCTGACAATATACCATTATTTGACAAAATGTTCAGTAAATGTTTGAAAGAAACATTGGAAGGAAGAGCATTGCAGGCAGATGGGAACAGTTGGTGCAAAGGTCCTGGGGCCTGTTATGTTTGATGAACTGAAGGCAGCCAACGTGGGTGGGAGGGACTGAGCAGAGAGCAGCAAAAATAGGGAAATAGGGAATCAAAAGGGGTCACTGCTTTGTAAAGCAGTGAGGGTTTTTACTCCAGACTGATGTGAGAAGGAAGTAACTCCCAACCTGTTAGACAGCTGAGTTCCTGTCTCACAGTACGAATGCTGATGCATCAAGGACAAAGAAGGTGAAGAGTGGGAAAGTTTTACTGAGAGAAAGCTGAGAGCCCGGTGTTCTTAAAGTGGGCTGCAGCTGAGGCTCTTTGTCTAGGGTTTTGTACAGTGAAATCACATCACAGGGAACCTGGGATCAAACTGTAATCAGCTATGGGCTTACAAGCACGGGCCCTTGGCTAATACTGATCCAACAGGAACAAGGTACTAACTAGCCAGATGTCAAGTGCTGAGAACAAAGGCATCCCCCAAAGGGGCAGGAGCGAAGGTGGGGTGCCCTGGTCTGTTACACTGCTCAGGCTCACTGGGCCAGTGGCATTGGTCACAGCCCAGCTCTGAGCTGCTGTCCATCTCTGGGGAGCCTTGCAGGCCCAACTATCCTGTCCCCACCTTGGGGCCTCGTTTCTATCCACTCAGCCCTGACTCCAGGCCTGTTCTTCGATCTTGGACCTAGGGTTTTCAAACTGTCCATCAGTCCCCACCTAACCTGGCCATCTGCAATACAGAGACAGCAGCTGTCACAGGGGTTTGGGACAGGGGTGACCCGAGCTGGGTTTCCCGGCTGCTGTAGGTGTAGGCAGGAGACAGGGAAGGGCTTGCCGCAAGAGGTAGGCCTGCAGCCAGAGACAGAGGTGGCCCCTCAGTTGGATTTGCCTAGATAGAGAGCCTGGGATTTGTGGCGGAATTGAATGGGAGAAGTGAGGAAAGAGGAGGCAGGAGGATTCGGAGCTTTGGACTCGGTCCCCGGAAGAGGGGTTGCCATGACCTGAGATGTGGAGAGAGTGGTGGGTGTTCAGAGTTCGAGATTCACTGGCTGTCCCAGAGAGGCTGCCTGGAAGGGAATGGGGGAGGAACCTGCAGTGCCTAGGCCAGCCGTCCTGTAAGTACCGTGTTTCCATACATTCGTGGGGCGGGGGGAGGCGCCTCTGGAGCACTGGGCCGAGGGCGGGCCGGGGGTGTGGCTTGGGGAGGTTCTAAGGGCGGGGCCTTAGCGCGTTTGGGCCCATAAAGAGCGAGGCATGGCGTTGCTAGGGTTTCTGATAGGTTGCGCCGGAAGACTTGCTGGCTTCCAGGCCCCGCCCCCACGGGAAAGAAAGGGGCGAATCAGGTGACGCGAGCCCCCGAGGCCGGGAGGCAGAAGCCCGAGGGCCGCAGCCTGGGTGCCCCGAGGGGTAAGTGTGGTGGCGCCTCGCTGTTTCAGTGCTGGGGCCCTAGGTCCTTGGGGGCGGGGGTGGGAACCCGGGTCTGGCTGACAGTTGGGACTCCATTACGGCCCAGAGTCGCGGTTTTCCCCGGCGTCCTGGAACCGGTCGCTGCCCCCTTCTGGCCTTAGCCTGACACCCTGGGGCACCCGACCCCGGGCCCCCATATCGCGGATAGTGTGAGATCTAAAGTCCGAGACACTTGCCTAGTACTATAGGAAGGGCCAAGGCTTCGGGAAGTGACGGCTGGGATGGAAGCTGGGGCTGGGGTGGGATGGAGTAGCAGAGGGTGGGGATCGGGAGTGGGATCTACGCCCAGGTAAGGGCGGCAGAGGCAGCCAGGTAGCCGCGACCTCAGTGTTTACCATCATGCCTTATCTTACAGGATCCGACATATAAAGTTTGTAAAAGCAAATCCGATTTGGCCAGATCCCCGGACGCTGAGTCTGAAGCAATGCTTTTGAAAATAGGTACCTACGACCACACGGTGGTTTTGGGGGTGCTGTGGGCGGGGGGTGGGGGGGGGACAGGTGAGGAAGTTCTAGCTCTTTGGTGAGGTCCTTCTTCCCTGTTGTGGTTAGGTAGGGAGTCGTCTTCCTCTTTCTCCTGGAGCTGGTGCAGGAAAGTGCACACTTCCCGCCCAGGAATCTGTGCCCCTCAGAGAGGGGCTTCTTTCACTTCCTTCCCCTGCCCCAGACACAAGGGACCTTGGATCTTATGTGATACCAACATGTGCTGATGCCAGCCCTCAAAGGGGACATGGTAACTTACACGGAAGGAAACTGTATCCCCCAAGGGAGAGGGCTCACCCAGCTAGGGCAGCAGGCTGACTATAAATCCTCCCTGGCGGACCTCTTGTGTCCTCCTGAGGCCTCCCTCCAGTCTGTGGTGGCAGTAGATGGTCCTGGACAGAGGTTTAGGACACCTGGTGCCTGGAGTCCACAGTGAACTGTCCAGCTCTGTGGGGAGAGGGCTGGTTGGGTGAATAGGAAGGACAGGACCAGGTGCTTTCCTTTACTAATGTCCACTCAGCAAGTAAGGAGTCGGACCTCGCACGATTCACCCGCCATAGCACTGCACCCCACTTACTGCACCATACTCAGCAGCTGCTGCAGAGAGAACCAGTTCTGCTTTAACCCTGGTTCCTCTGCTGTGTAGGCAGCCGCTACAGGGCTGAGCCGCAAGTGGGCAGCCCAGACAAGGGTCGTGGCTGTGGGAGCCGTTAGGTCACCTGCCTGTCTCCTGTCCTTCCCACCCCCCAGTGCTCTTGCTGGCCCTGGTGGCCCAGGTGCTGATGCTGGACAACGGGCTCCTGCAGACGCCCCCAATGGGCTGGCTGGCCTGGGAACGCTTCCGTTGTAACATAAACTGCGAGGAGGACCCAAAGAACTGCATCAGGTAAGTAAGGGCCACACCCACCCGATATGGCCTGCAGTGCGGGGCGCAGGGAGGAAGGGGTTCATCTGGCAAGGAGGCCAAGGACAGGCACAAGTGACATCAGGGACATGTGACATCTAGTCCTGTGGCCCACCTGAGCCTCTATGGGGTAGAGGCCTTGTGGAGTACCTGGCTTCCACGACAATTGGAAGAAGACAACTTAAAAGGACAGGCAGGCCCCCCATTTGCCCAGTGCTGCCCCTTGGTCTGGGCCCAGATCAGTCGTTTTCTCCCCACCTTGCTCCTCACACGTCCTCGCAGGGTCATTTGCCCTGTTATCTGGCTTCATCCTGGGCTGCCAGTAGGACTGCTGTTTTTACGGCCTAGATTCACACTCAGAGCTGAGGACAGGGTGGGAATGAGGGCCAGGCTGGGCCACTGAGTGGCCTGACCTCCTGCCCCTTGCTAGTGAGCACCTCTTCATGGAGATGGCAGACCGGCTGGCAAAGGATGGGTGGCGGGACCTGGGCTACGTCTACCTCAATATCGATGACTGCTGGATTGGTGGGCGAGACACCGAAGGCCGCCTGGTGCCCGATTCCAAGCGCTTCCCCCACGGCATCGCCTTCCTGGCTGACTATGTGAGCCCCAGCCTGGCCCCGCCCCTTGGCCTGAGAGCCACACATCCCCCTCCCTCCTTCCCACCCTGCTTTGGGGTACATTTTACAGAGTCCCTGCTTGGCAGTGTCACCCACCCAGGAAAGTGATGAATGAACATACCTCCTTTGGGCCCAATATAGTGAGAGCCAGAAAGGGCATCATAACCTGGATGGAACTCCCGGAAGATTTCCCTGGAAGAGGCAGTTTTGGAGCTGATCCCAGAGAGATGTCCTTTGAGGGGGTCCCAGAGGCTTTAAGGCATCAAGCAGCCAGGGGGAGCTGAGTGTGCTGGAGGGAGGGAGGGCAGGCCAGAGACACAGCAGTCAGAAAGCTGGGACCTCTGTTTGATCACCAGGAGCTCTGAAGGTGTTAATGTGCCTTGGTCAGATGTATCTGAGTGGCGACTCACTGAGGGTCCGACCCGAGCTCACTGTCCTCCCCCCTCCCCACCCAGGCTCACTCCCTGGGTCTGAAGCTGGGCATCTACGCAGACATGGGCAACTTAACCTGCATGGGTTACCCGGGCACCACGCTGAACAAGGTGAAGCAGGATGCCCAAACCTTCGCCGAGTGGAAGGTGGACATGCTGAAGCTGGATGGCTGCTTCTCCACCCAGGAGGATCGGGCCAAAGGTGAGTTCTGCAGCCAGGCAGTGCCCATCAGGGGAGCTCAGTCTGGGTCGGGCCTCGTGGGGCTTTCTCAGTCCCGTTCACCCAGGAGCAGAGGGATCATGGTTCCTAGTCCCTGAGACAGGCTGGCACCAAGGCCACTGAGGAAGTTTTGAGGCCCTGGGTACGGGGAGGAAGCGTCAGTTTCCGCATATGTAGAGGCACATGGTTTGAGCTGAGGCCTCCCCAATGGCAACTGGGCTTTCTCCAGGGTACCCCATGATGGCTTCTGCACTGAATGCCACGGGCCGCCCCATTGCCTTCTCCTGCAGCTGGCCAGCCTACGAAGGAGGCCTGCCCCCCAAGGTAAGCTGTTCTGTGTGTCCATCTTCCAAGGCGCTCCACGGCCCAGGCTTCTTGGCCCTCTGGGTGCCAGGCTCAGGGACGAGGCTGCCAGAGCCAGGGCTGCTCTCCCAGCAGGTGACCACATGCTGGTTTGTGAGTGTCTAGAACAAGGGTCACAGTACCTAAAAGGGGCCTTAGCCAGCCCAAGGTCAGAAGGAGAGGGGTCCCCTAGTTGGGTGGGCTGAAGGGGTTGCTGTCTAAGGCACTGAGCTCTACGTGATGGCGATGCAGAAAAGGACACCCCTAGTAAGAGTGTGCTCACACCTGCAGACCTGAGGGTCTGGCTGACAGATGGAGGGACTCAGAGGAAATGGCATGTGTGTGCATGCATGCACGGGGAAGGCTGAGTGCCCAGCCTGGGCCCACACCCTGGGCTTGGCCCCCACAGGCATGAGAGGGCAGGGGAGACTCCTGGCACTGGTCTGTATGGAGGGGAGTCCTGGGTAATCTCTCCCAAGACGGTCCTCTTAGAGGGCTTCCAGGTCCTGGACAGGCTTGGGGACCTGTACTTTTCCCCCTTCCCACCCTGTCTCCTGTGGAGCCTTCTCCCCAGCTTCCGGGTGGCCCCCGGGGGCAGAGTGTGACCCTGGTGTGGACACTGCCTTCCCTGATGTCCAGGTGAACTACACTCTGCTGGCCAACATCTGCAACCTTTGGCGTAACTATGACGACATCCAGGACTCCTGGCAGGACGTGCTGTCTATCCTGGACTGGTTTGTGCGACACCAGGATGTTCTGCAGCCAGTGGCTGGCCCTGGGCACTGGAATGACCCAGACATGGTAATTGACACTCAAGGGGGACATCCCTAGGCCTGCTGGGCTTGGCAGCCCTGTTTCCTGCTGCTCCAGGCTCTCTTCATTCCCTGATACTCACTGCCAGGTGTGAGACCAGCTTTCCTGAAATACGGGGTGATCAGGCAGAGTGTGAGAGGCCAGCCTGAGAGCTGTGTTTGCAGTGTGGGTCCTGGCCCTGCCTCCAGGGTGTCAGGATGTTCAGAGAAGAAAATGAAAGTGCCCACTGAGAGCACCCCCAGCCCATGCTGAGGTTTCTTAAAGCCAGAGAGCTCAGTCTGTAGCCACCGACCCTCTCCTGAGACAACATCCTGCCTGTTCCATGTCGTCTTGCCCTTCCTGGCACCTGGCCCACCCTCTTCGTGTCTTCCTCTGCTCCCCCTTTCAACACCCTGTACCCTACCTTCCTGCAAAGCCTGCCCAGTCTTAACCTGGCCCTGCGCAGACACCACTGGCCTTCAGTCCTGCTTAGGGCTTCCATCCCCAGTCAGGTATTGTCCTGGTGACTGGTACTGTATCTCATGCACATCTAGTCAGCAGGTTTTCATCAGCAAGGATGCTTATCATTCTGCAAAAGCTACAGCAGGGGGCGGGCAGCCTGGAGGAGCAGAACCTGCCTGCTTTGGAGTTCAGGCTCCAGCTCTGCTACTCAGCCTGGGAGAGTTACTGTTCGTGTGTGTGAGAGTGTGTGTGTGTGTGTGTGTGTGTGTGTGTGTGTTGTCACGTGGAAAATGAGAACAGTAAGAATAGCTACTTTACATAGGCTGTTGGAGCGTTGAATAATGTTACATCCCTAAGTGCTTGGTTAAGTTGCTGTCATCCAGTACCATACCATGTCGCATTGGCAGTAACGCCTTTGTGTCCTGACTGCACTGGTTGGTTGCCCTGGGCTCAGAGACCCCTTTGGTCCAATTGGCCATAGCAAGGACAGATAGGTGGCTAGTGGCGAGCACAGGGACTCTGTCTAGGTCTGGTTTCCTCCCACTGCCAGCATGGGTCTATTTCTTGACCTGTGCCCATTTATAAAGACTTGGGCAACAAGACCTCATCTGATTATCCGCATAAGCTGCAGTGCTGCCCGGTGATCACCGAGAGCTCTCGATGGAAAGCAGCTGTCCCACGCGTGGATGATGACTAACTTGACCCCTCATGTGACTGTCTTTCCCTGTCCCTTCTGCTCTGTCGATGGCCCCCACCCCCACCTCCCTGAGCAGTGCAGAGCTGACTTTCCTTTCCTCTGTCCTCAGCTGATCATTGGGAACTTTGGTCTCAGCTTTGAGCAAGCCCGGGCCCAGATGGCCCTGTGGACAGTGCTGGCGGCACCCCTCTTCATGTCCACAGACCTGCGGACCATCTCCGCCCAGAATGTGGAGATTCTGCAGAATCCACTCATGATCAAAATCAACCAGGATCCCTTGGGCATCCAGGGACGTAGGATTCTTAAGGTACTGGGGTGTTAGTGGGAAGCTGGGGTACGATAAGGACTTGGGCTCCCTGGAGGATGAGGCTGCCAGCCTGCAGGCGAGACACGGCTGGGTCTCTGAAGTCCCCTCCAGGTTGCATGCAGTCGAGGACTCTGCTGGGATTCTGCTGCTGCATGCAGGCAGGGTCACAGCAGGCCAGCTCTCGGTAGACAGGGTGGGGACATCCCAACAGGAGACTACGGGGGATGCGCAGGTGACATCCCTCATAGAAAGAGGGCTTCCCTCTCAGATTTAAGGGATTGCAAGTGTTTGCTGAGTCAGGAAGGGAAAGCAGGGTTAGATAAGCTGGGTGGCCACAGGACTGTGCCATCGTCCCCAAGGCTACGTGGGACATAGAGCTGGGGCAGGGTGGGGCATGGTGAAGATCTCAAAGATGAGTTAGAAAGGCACTCCAGCCAGCAGCTGTCTTTTGCCCAGGAAAAATCCCATATTGAAGTGTTCATGCGACCCCTGTCTGAGGAGGCCAGCGCCCTGGTGTTCTTAAGCCGCCGCACAGACATGCCTTACCGCTACAGCTCGTCCCTGGGCCGCCTGAAGTTCCCCAGCTCCAGACTGTATGAGGTGAGCGCCCAGCCGCCTGCAGCCCAGGCCCGGCCTCCAGCTTCCTGTCTCCCTGCTGGGGCATTGCTGGGGGTGGTCCTTACCCCACGGGGCTTCCTCAGGCCTCTGGCAGAGCCCACAGGGCCACTGCAGGTGCTGAGGGTCTTTGTCTGTGCCAGTGTTTCCAGCATTGCAGAAGGGAGCCGCTGTGTACAAAGGAGGCCCCTGGTCCTGGGCTGCTCACTGGCCGGCCCTCACTAGCACTGTCCTCCCCTAGTTTTCCACAGGCTGGGGCTTTCTCTGCTGCCTGTGCTTGGACATCTGTCAGCTTCGCTGTGGATGAGCAAGGGGATAGGGGAGATCGAGGCTCCTGCTTCTGTAAGGCAGACTGGAGTCCCGATGCGGGCAGGCCCAGGTCCAGGCTTCTCCATCCTCTGAGGGGGTCTCTACAGCTGTCCCCACGCTGACAGTGCTGATGTCCCTTCCTTACCGCAGGCCCAAGATGTCTTCTCAGGGGAGATCATCACAGACCTCAATACCAAAACCAACTTCACGGTGATTATCAACCCTTCAGGCGTGGTGATGTGGTACCTGTACCCTATCCAGACCCTGAAGCTATCCAAGTGGAAGTCCTAAGACTGAGGAGCTGAGGCCGATGGCGGGCCTTGGTGGCTTTGTGGAGCTTGCACCGTGGAGCCTTGGCATGTGGAGGCCAGTGAGCAGGGCTCTCTCCTCCCTGGGCCTGCTCGGCCACCTGACCTCATCGTTCCCAAAGCTTCATCTCGGGGCCAGGCGCTGTGCACGCCCAAGCGTGAACCCTCTTGGAAACTTCTCTTGGGGGAACTTCCCGTAGGGATTCCGGCCTCCAACTCATCCCCATGGCCTCACAGACATTGCTAAACAACTCGACCAGCTTGCTGAGCCCTCAGGCAGGGGCGATAATCCCTATCAGAACTCGAGCCTCTGGCTTGGTGGTTGGTTCTGAAAGCAGGACTTAGAGCTATTCTATCTAGAGGTGGAGATCTGACCTCTTGTCAGACTCTCATGAGCTGTGTGACTGGATGACGGCACCTGGAGTGTGCAGGTCACAAGGGAGACCTTGAGTCCCTTATATCACCAATAAAGCCGTTCTTTAGGTGCGCAGTTATAAATGAACCTGGGGGTGTGGGCACCTCCAATCAAGGACCCTGAGTGGCACTGCCCATGATGCCAGTGTCAGATCTCACCTCCCATGGAAAATGTGTGACATCCTCTGGCCCCTTGTTTCCCTGGGTGACCTGCAGATTGTACCCCCTAGAAATACTGGGTACATTGCACCTGACACCGGTGTGGGTGGTAGCAACACCAGGAACTGAGAGTTGAACTCAGGACCTTGTGCTTGCCAGGCAGAGCTATATCCCTGCTGACCTAAATCCCCAGCCCCTTCGTTTGTATTTTGAGACAGCATCTTGCTGAGGGGCCCAGACTGGCCTCAGACTTGCAATCCACCAAGACTGGCAGGTTCTTGACTCTCTCCCTCTGGTTCCTGTATCCTAAATCCTCCTCTTTGATCTCAGGCCACAGGACATCTGTCTCTTCCTGCACCTCTTTTTCCCCACTGGGGAAGATGGTGGACCTCAAACGCGAATACACAGGGGCCCCCAGACTTTGGGCTGTCCTGCCCTGTGAGATTTTCTCTGGATGGGTCTCTCCTTTCCCTCAGGGTTTTAAGATCTCTGTTTCTGGAGTGTGCTACAAGAAACTCGTAAGTGCACACTTCGTAATGCCACTTAAGATTCCTAGAGCTTTGCTGGTCAAGTCACCCGAGAAGGCTCCCTTTCCCAGCTGGTGTCTTGAGGCTTTTGAGTCACTCAGGCAAACAGCGCCTACGTCACCCCAGGCCTCGATCCCTGGAGCGCTGAGACTGCATGGCTCCAGCCTCGGGTCCTGCCCGCGGTGCTGCTTGAGCCAGTGGGATGGAATGGTGTCGGGCAGGCGCCCCTGCCAGTTCTAGGAGGGTCACTGGAAGGGGAAAGATAACCGAGGGGTGTAGGGGTGAGACCTGAGCTGTCTTTGCTAGTCACTCCCATTTCAGATCCAGAGACCGTTTCACACTCTGCTTGCGGTGTGATGTGTCCCTTGTTCTGAGACTGCCTGAGGGAGCCCGTGTCCCCATCCTCCACCCTCCACGTGCTGTCCCCCAGTACTGCTCTCCTCTGCTCTTCCCACGCCAGTTAGAAGCGCAGTTTACTTTTTCCTAGTTTATGGCAGCCTCATTTGGATCCACAGATAACCCTTTTTGGATAGCCCTCTATTTAATAATAAAAAAAAAATTTTCACTGTACAAATTTTCACACACAAAAATAAAGCCACACAGTGAACCTGTATGGACCTGTCACACAGCTTCAACAATGATCACCGTTTACCGTTATTTTATCTATCCACACAAACCTTCCTGGTGTGTTAGCTGATATTTGAAAGCAGATATCAGAAACCCTAAAATGCTAGTATGTATTTCTAACAGCATCTTCGAATATGACTTTCATACAATTTTTTTAATCAAATTTTTAAATAACAGCCAATCTGTTTTCAGTTTTTGCAGTTATCCTAAAAATATCTTTACAGTTGGAATCAAGAGCCAAAAAAAAAAAAAAAAAAATTCAAATACCAAGGCTGTTGAAAAAAAAAGAACCAAAGCAATGGGTCAGCAAAAATGGCCTAAGCAGAATCACTGAAAGTTTGCTCCTTCCATAAAAGCAATTTTAAAAAGTCTGCCATGTATCATCAGAATCAACTTTCACAGACTTCTGGAAATTAACCAGGTACTTTCAGCAATTCAGAGAGTGTTCATCTGAGGAAAAAAAAGTTGTTTTATTAAGAACAACAAAGCCGGGTTGGGCGTGGTGGTGCACACCTGTAATTCCAACTTTCAGAGGCTGAGGCAGGAAGATCCCCATGAGCTCAAGGCCAGCCAGGGCTACACAGTGAGTTCAAGACTTGCCTGAACTGCATAGTGAGATCCTGGATCAAAAAAAATATATATTAAAAATTGAACAACAAAGCTGGTATGATGGTACATGTAATCCCAGAATTCGAGGAAGCTAAAGTAGGAGGATCACAAGTTTGAGCCTAACCTGAGCTGGTTAGCAAGACTCTGACTCTGAAATAAAAACAAAAAGCAGCTGGTGACATAGTTCAGTGAGAAGATCCTGGCTTCGATCCCCAGTACCAAACAGAACAGAAAAAAGAGAAAAAGAACTTTTTGGCATTTTAACTTTCTTTAGTACCAGATTAGAATGGTTATTTTAAACGTGTTCGAAGAGCTAAAAAAAAAAAACACATCTAAAGAATAAAAATAAAGTCTTAACAAATAAGCAGCCAGGTGAGGTGGTACAAACCTGTAATCCCAGCTACTTATGGAAGGCTAATGCAGGAAAATCACAAGCTCCAAGGCCAGCCTAGGCAATTTAACAAGACTTTATCTCAAAAAAATTCAGGGGCATAAGCACCTGCCTTACAAGCAGGCGGTCATGAGTTCGATCCCTGGTACCGATTAAAAAAAAAATTCAAAGGTCTAGGAATGCATCTCAGCCATAAAGTACCTCTGGCTTCAAGGTCCAGTTCCACAAAATAGTAACAAATGACACATAGAATTATACAAAGGAACCAAGTAGAAATTCTGGAAAATTAACATCTTCGATGAAAAATTCACGACAAGTACAGTGGCAGGTCTGAGTAGGCGGAATATGAATCAATAAACTTGAAAATAGCTATGTTGGCATTAACCCAAGGAATAGAAATAGAAAAATGAACAATGAGAAAAGCTTCAGAGACCCCTGGGCCACCATCCGGTGTACCAATATACACACTGCAAAGGGGAGGAAGGGCAGGCGTGGTGGCACACGCCTGTAATTCCAGCACCTGGCTGAGGCAGGAGCACCACTGCGAGTTCGAGGCCAGCCTGAACCACACAAGTACATGGTGAGATCTTGTATCAGAGAGAGAGAGAGAGGGAGAGGGAGGGAGGCAGAGGAGGAAATAGTTTGGCCCATTCAAAATGATTTTAAAAACAGCCATCAATAAACAATGACTCTCTGCTGCTTAGGATGGACTGAATTTCATCCCATCTCTCATTCTTATTTTGAGGCAGGGTCTCCCTGAGTCACTAAGTTATCCAAGCTGGGCTTGAATTCGGGCACCCTCCTGTCTCAACCACTATGCCTGGCTAATAATTCTATATTTGGACTTTGAACCCAGGGGCGTGATCTTTCAAAAATGAAGGAAACTGAACACATTCCCAGATAAAAAAACAGAGTTCATCTATAGCTGGCCCACCCTGAGATGAAAAGGTGTGCTAGGTGATACTCTGTGTCAACTTGAGAAGTCCAGCAGCCTAAGCCACTCGGCAGCTCCACATCCTGGGGTGAGGAGGACAGAGCAGTTGAAATTCTAAGATGTGGCTCACTGTGTCAATTTGAGACGGTCAGAAGTCTAAGTAAGTGGTTCAGCAAGGGGCCGGAGGCCTCTTTGTACCACCCTCGGCCTGTGCAAGAGGCAGGTGTGAGTGCCGCTCCATCCCCGGGGCCGAGCTGCTTACAGTAAGAGGGAGGAAAAGAGGTTTGAACCCCTCCTTTTTGCCCTTGCTGCTTTATCCATCTGCCACCTTGAAGTGTTGCCCCTGTGCCAGGCCACCCTGCCTTGAAGCCAGCTGATTACGGACTGAAACCTCCATAAACTGTGAACTAAATAAACCTTCCCTTCCTGCATTTTGGGCATCAGGTGTTTTGTCTCAGCAATGAGAGAAAAGTAACCAGACAGCACATGATGAAATAAAGGACACCAATAAATGTAACTATATAGATAAATATAAAAGATAACAGGCAGGTGTGGTAGCAGGTGACAGCACTCTGGGAGGCTGTAAGTACAAGCTCAGCCTGGATAACCTCGTGACTTAGCAAAACCTAGTCTCAGACTAAAAAGTAAGAAGAGATGTGGCCCTGGGTTCAGCCTCCCAGTACTACAAAAACAAAACCAAAAGGACGTAAATTAACAAATATGTTTTCTTGGTTATAACTCTTTTTCTGTCCCTGACTTAAAAGACAATTTTATAAAGCAATAATTAGAACCTATAATGAACAATTGATGTATGTGTATTTAATTTGTAACAATAGCATAAAGAAGGGAAACAGCTATGTAAATGCAAAGTTTTATACAGTTGTTGTAAATGGTAGTAATTTGATCTAGATCATTATAAGCTAAGGTGTTAGTGGCAATCCCCAGCGTACCACACACAGAAACAGTAAAAGACATAGTACAGAAAACTGCATAGCTAAAGTTACACAAAAGCCAACAGTGGAAGACGTGAGGGAAAACAAAAAAGATGTAAGAACCAAATAGCAGGGGGCTGGGGATTGAGCTCAGCGGCTTAAGCGCCTGCCTTGCAAGCAGGCGGTCGTGAGTTCCGATAAAAAAGGAAAAAGACCACACACAAAAAAAGAACCAAATAGCAAAATGATAAATCCTACCTTATCAGTGTTTCCATTTTTTTATTAAATGGAACTAATGCATTTAAGAGCCCTCCTCTCTGTCTCACTGAAAATAAATGCTTTACTCAAGACACACTTTAGACTCAAAGACATACAAATAAGTAGAAACCTAAGAGGAGGGAAGGGCTGCCGGGCTATAGTAACCAAGGGAAAATATTGGGCTACATTTTTACCAAAAAAAGACTTTAAACCAGAAAGAGACTAAAGAGATTTTATGATGTTAAAAGGGTGAATCCACCAAAATATACAAAAAGTATAAACTTGGGTGTGCCTAACAAAGGAATCAAAAAATACATAAGACAAAACTTGAAACAAAGAGAGAAACAATCCAGCAATTGCTATGGAACAGAACAGAGTGCTAAGAAGGACACTCATATGTCCACAAATCAACGAATCTCTTTTTTTTTTTTTTTCCCCGTTATTGAGGATGGGACCTAAAGCCTTTGCACTGAGTTGTATGCCTAGCACCCGCCCCACCTCACTCCTCTGTACACACACCCTTTTTTAGGCCAGAGATCCTCCTGCCTCAGCCTCTTGAGTGCCAAAATGCCACCACGCCCAGCGACTTTTATGAAGGCGCTAAAAACACGAAGTATGAAAAGGATAGTCTTTTC